CAAGCCGTCCCGGCAATGTGGCAAGCACAACTTCGGCTTGGCAAGCCAGCGCAGGTCCCGACGACGAGCTTTACCATAGGTACAAGCCTCGCTCGCTGGGGCAACGGAAAGGCCGCCGGCCCAGAGGGATGACGTGCAGCCCCAGAAACCACAGGACAGCGACATGGAGCAGCGCAGATGGAGAAGCAATTGGAGCGCGCCACGCCGCCGCCCGCCAGCGGAGCCGCGCCGAACGTGCCCATGGGCGGCCACGACTAATTGCGCGCCCCCTCCTCCCCCAGCCCCCAGCCCCAGGGCTCGACACTACTCTCGGGGCGCCGCCAGGCAGCAGCTACAACAACAGTACAAGCGGGATGGATCAGCGCGCTGCGCTCGTCATCATAGGTGGCTGGTCCGCCAGTGCGCGGCCAGAATCCGCAGCGGGTTTACTATACATTTGCATCCATTGGAAATCTAGCACGGTACAAAAAAAAAAATATCTACTACATACCTGGGTACAATACGACAGCCAACGGCGGCGGTCCACGGAACGTGTGCGTGCGTGCGCGCGCGGAATCCGTGGACCGCGCCCGCCCCCGCCCGTGCTGCTGTCGTTGCTGCTGCTGTTGCGTCTCGGAAGGCCGGTCCGGGGCGAGGGCGCCTGCGAACAACCTTGGGCCGGGTGAGGTGGAGACTCTGGGTCGCGCGGCGCGGCCCGCCCGCTCGCTCGCGAGTCGCAGCCGCTGCCGCGGCCGCGGGCGGACGCTCCTACGAATGTACTGCTGTTTGCTGCTGTTGTTGCTTGCAACTGCATTTGCTCCAAGCACCGTTATCGTAGGTGCCTGGATCGAACGGCCGGCTCCGCTGGCCGCGCGGCTGTACTTAGTCCCGTCGTGGTGACGACGTGCGACGAGGCAGCGCTGCACGTGCGCGCGCCGGTGCGACTCGAGGTGACTCGACAGGCCGGGGTGTCCATTCGGTGTCATGCAGGCTAGGCTAGAGTATACGATGAGGCTGCGCCATTGTGGCTTGCTCGGTTGGGATTAGGGCGAGGGGCGGTGCTGACGAGATTGGGGGAATGGGCATGGAAGAGAGTTGGAGATAGAGGAGGGTCCGCGGGGCTTGGTGCAGGTGTTGGTGCTGATGCTGACGTTTGCCATTGCTTGCTTGCTTGCTTGCTAATGCTGCTTTCCCTCTCAATGCCGAATGGCGCGGAAGAGGATGGAACTAGAAAAGGAAAAAAACGACGGCGGCAGCAGCGGGTATCTCGAGGTACAGTTCTGTGTAGCGGCTCATGGTGGAATGGGACAAGCAGATGATCAGACAGGGGTGGCGGGGATGGTTTCGCGGGGCGGTGGTTGATGATCGTCGAGGCATGAGGATATGGGTGTGTGGGTAGTTAGAGTGTTAGATTCTCAGATCCATTGCGCACCATTTCGGGCGATTGGAGGGTATCACGCATGTCGACCATGTGTTCACCGGCGCAGCGATAGATAAAAGGGAGGGCAGCACTTGGTCCAGCGTGACCGGTTGGGGAAGTGGGGCAGGGATGGCAAGCTGGGAGCATGATCAGCCGTCGAGATACGGGCGCCTTGAGGTCGACCGCGGGCGATCAGGGATGGCTTCACATGCGAATTGATGATGATGCAATGGCCAGATCATCCGCTGAGGAGAATGGCCTGTTGCCTTCTCATTCATCAATTCCGTGACTCACTCGCACGCACCCAATCAGCGCGCGCAGTTGCCACCGGTCGGCAAGTCGCTAGCGCTTTCTGCTCTCCCCTCTCACACACTTCTCTGCTCTTTCGCAACCTTCTCGGTGCCTGATGCTGCTGCTCGCTCCAGAATCCCACTAACGCTCATGCTCTGCTGACTTTGCCCAACGAACAGCAAACCCTCTCTTATTTGTCTTGTCGCGGCGCCCAAGGGCGTCCGCTCTTTGTTCCCATTGTCATCCTGCCTGCTGACCTCCAGTCACTTGCCCCTGCCCACCCCCAGAGAGCCACACAGCCCAAGCTCTCGCGCTTTGGTCATAAGTCATAAGCTCGCCTTTTATCCCATCCCGTTGGTCCTTTCAAGTCCGTTCCACTGTTAAAAGCACCCAAACTCTTCCTCCACCCCCCAACCAGACCCTCTCTCTTCCGACTGGCCAGCCCGACTCGCCGTAATTGGCTGCACAGCGCGTGTCACATCTGTCGCGTCTATTCATAAAGCAAGCCTTCGTTCGCCCGCCTTGCTCGCCACATCAGCAGACAGCACAGCACGCGCATTCCAGCACCTTCTGCCGCGCAGCAGCCTTGGAGACGACTGCTCGACGCTCGAAATCCCGACATCCTCTCCACCCACCAAGACAATGGCTTCGCATACCACAAAGACCGACTCCCGCTTCTCTCTGTCCACCCTTCTCTCGCCTCCGGAACCCTCCAAGCCCGACAGCTTCTCCGACGACTCTCCAATGGCTGCGCAGTCAGCCCACTTTGGCGCCCGGCCCGCCTCAATGTTCGACTCCTCCAGCATGAAGCACTTCACCAGCGTCCACGCTCCAGGCAGCAACATGCGCAGCAAGGGTCTCCCGCCCTCGCCACCCGTCTCACCCTTTGACAATCTGCACAAGGAGAGCTCGGTGGAGGACACAAGCAGGGACCCGCCGCTGTTCCCCGACACGGCCAGCGACAAGGACGGCGCCGCCCTGCCTCTGTTCCCCGGCGGCAGTGCGGCGGCCGACTCCACCCACGATCTCGCCATCAAGCACCACATGGCCCACCCGGGCTGGAGAAAGGCCATGGTCCGCCCGACTCAGGACGAGTACGAGCTGGCCCTGCAATGCCAATCTATCGCCTTCCACTCCGTCTGCGAGGACCAGTTCAAAAAGGATCCCCACGCCTACATGAGGAACGAGCGGGCCTACCTCGACGAGGTTTACAGGCCGAAGAAGAATGCCGGACGAGCCCCCCTCAGGACGCTGGCTCCTGCCCCTGCGGGAGTTCGGAAGCAGAAGATGGTCGGTGCGAGATCACCTCGCGGGCCACGCGCTACGAAGCGAACCCCCAAGGCCATTGTCCTTGACTCATTCGAGCCTAAGCCTGCGACCCCCAAGGCGCCGAGGGTGATGGCGCCAAAGGAGGACATTGACTTTGATCTGCTGCCGGACTATTCCCCGCCCCTATCCTCGCTGCCGGAAGATGGCAGAAAGGGGCTGAAAGCAGATTGGAAGGGCACGCCCGTCGACCTGTCCAGTGACCCCCACAGGCACCTGCTCCACCCCTCCGAGGTGAACGTAGCCTCCATTCTGCGCCTCAATTGTGCGACCTACCTCTCCAACAAGCGACGCATCTTTGCGGCCCGCGTCAAGGCTCTCATCAAGGGCGAGGACTTCAACAAGACCAAGGCGCAACAGGCCTGCAAAATTGACGTTAACAAGGCCAGCAAGCTGTGGGCCGCCTACGACAGGGTCGGCTGGTTCAAGCCTTCGTTATTTACGGAGTATCTCGACAACTTTGTCGACATCCCACCGAATTGAGGCCGAGTATGTCTTACGGTGTGTCTCGCATCGCCGTAAGCGTCGTCTTGTGACGCATTGGGGGTGCCATTGGAGCCTGTTCCTTTGTCCTGCCATCTGCTGCTCTCGACATGTGCATTTCCGATCCCCGCAACATCTTCCACCCCCGCCGCTGTCACATGTCACCGGGCGGATCTCACATACTCGCATCATCATCATCATCATCATCGGGAACTGGCGTTGGGAGGCTCTCTCTCTCTCTGTGTCTGTGTGTCATCGCAGGAGCAGGCTCCAGCCGGACGCCGGGCTGCCAAGGACCGGGCAAGCAGGGGATATCGTCGCATATCAAACCGGCCAGCCCGCCCGCGGATCATCTTTCTCGGGTTTCATCATCATCGACATCAACATCATCATCATCATTATCATCATCAACTCATGACATGCATTACGATCACGGCGTTTAACCTTCGGGCCGATCCACTAGCCCTCCCAGGGGGGAGGGCAGGGTCAGACCTCAACCGAGCAAGGCTGGGTCAGGGCGGCATGTGCCCATTTTCCTTTTTCGTCTATTTCTTTCTGTCCGGTCTCGTTTTTTGGTTTTGGAGTCTCGCTGGCTTTGTCCCAGCTTGCCTCGGTCGGTCTGGTCGGCCTGGTCTGGCTTCTTCTTTCTCTCTCGGCGCTACGTATTCGGTTACCATCACCCCTCTGATACCCCCGTCACATCTTGGTACCCCAGCATTTTTCACAGTCCCGCGTCGTCGTCGTGGTCATCGTCGTCGGGCGGCGGCGGCCGCGGCGGCGGTTTGCTTGTTGTTAGTTTTTTGTTCTTGTGTGTGCGTGCGTGGGCTAGCTATGGATGGCGTTCTTTTTGGTCGGGCAGGTCGGGGCGGGAGATTGCGTGTTTTGGTTAGTTAGGTCGGGTTGGGTAGGTTGGGTTGGGTTGGGTTGGGTTTGGGCGGTTCGGGTTGGGCTGGTTTGGGTGGTAGACGTACCGTACCGTACCGTACCGTACCGTACCGGTAGCTTTAAGCAGGCGGACTACCTACGTTCGCCGTAAGGCTTCGGGCAATGAATTTTAGACATTGAGACACTTCACCACGCTTCTTTCGGGACTGTTGGTTTGATTCGTTTTTTGTTTGTTTGTTTGTTTGCTTGTTTGTTTGTTTATTTGTTTGTTTTGCCGCTGGCTGGTGAGGTTCTGTTCGAGTGCGTGGATGGCTTGCATGCTTGCGCTTTGCTTGCCTTGTTCGGTGGATGAGCGGCTGGGCTTTGAGTGGGTGTGAGTGTGTGCTACGCTACTACCTACTTGCGGAGGCGTGTCCGGTGCCGGAGATGTGGGCTGGCTGGGCTAGCTGGCTTGTCTGGCTGGATGGTCTGGTGTCTGGTGTCTGGTGTCTGGAAGACTGTCTAATGTCTGGCCTATCTATCTGTCTGGTCTGGAAGACTGTCTAGTCTCTGTCTAACTTTCCAACACTGTTTGTCAGTGCCGCTGATGCCGTCAGCGGGGATTTAAGCCACTCAGTACCATCCCATCCACCCATGAGGTAGGTAGTTGGTAGCTAGAGGGTCGACACTTGATTTGACTTGACTTGGCAACGTTGGCAAGCTGCTTTTATCTTTCTTCTTCTGTTGCTGGGGACTTCGCTCTACGCTACTGCTACTGCGCTGCAGTGTACTTGCCGGGAGAGACGGAAGACAGGAGACAGAAAAACGGAAAGGCAGAAAGACAGAACGGCAGGAAAACGAACAAACAGACACGCAACACACAACACTCACCTCTCTCTCTCGCCTTTCCTCCTTCACCACACGAACCACACGAACCACACAACAAAACGAACAACATCAACATCAACATCATCATCAAAAAAACCAAAATGCAACACCAACACCAACCCCCCACCACCACCAGCACCTCTCCCACCTCTCCCACCGCCCCAACAACAACACCATCCTACACCCTCCCTCCCAACCGCATCCTCACAACCACAGAACGCACGACGCACCCCTCGCCGCTGCCGCGCTGCCGCGCCACTACGCCGCCGACGCCGGCGCCGAAAGCGAGGTTTTTGCCGCTTGCGTTGGGGCTGGGTCTGGGAGTTGGTGAGGGGAGGGGGAAGAGGGAGAAGGTTGGTGAGGGGGTTGAGGGTGATGGTGGTGGTGCTGAGGCTGCGGTTGGTAAGCCGGAGAATACGGAGGAGACGGAGGCGGAGTTAGGCCGTATGTCCGATGGGGTCGGGGTTAGGGCTGGGGTTGGTAATACGGTGGTGGTGGGGACGGAGGAGACGAAGGAGACGGAGATTGAGATGGAAAAGGAAGAGGTGGAGGGGGTGGGCGTTGACGGTATCTCCGGTGTGGGTGCGTGTGATGCTGCTGCTGCTGGGGATGCTGAGGAGGTGGTGGAGGAGGTGGAAGTGGAGTTAGAAGAGGAGGGGGAGGGATTCGGCAACGGCAATGGCGACGATGGCGGGGTTAGCGGAGACAACGGCAACCACACCGACACCGACAACGGAAACGCCGACGTTGACGTTGGCGCCAAAGGCAGAAGCGGAAACGGAAGCGGGAGCGGAAGCGGAGAAGAGGCGGAAGAAGCGAAAGAAGCGAAAGAAGAAGCACACGAAAGCGGCGAAGAAGAAGAAGAAGAAAAGAAAAAAAGACGGCAAGACGAAGCGCAAAGAAATGAAAGAAAAGCCACTAGACTCGCCGGCCAACAGCGCTTCTCGACTTTCGACAAGGCGCTCCGCTCCGCCTTCATGCCGCCCCAGGCCCAGCGGCGCAGCGTCGAGTACGCGGCGGTGTTTGGGCTGCGGAGGGGGAGCTTGGCCGCTGCGATGCCTGTGCCTGCTTTTGCGTCTACGTCTGCGTCTGGGCCGGTAGGGGCGGAGGCGGAAGTGGAGGTGGAGATGGAGATGGAGATGGAGATGGAGATGGAAATGGAAATGGAAATGGAGATGGGGATGAATGAGCAGGCTATGGTGGTAAGGGAGAAGGAGAGGGATGCCCCGCCAGCAGCAGCAGCACCACCGCCGCCTCCATCGTCGCTCTCTCGTCGTCGCGCCACGCTCGCGGGGGCGGAGTTGGCGTTCTTGGAGGCGCAGCGCAGGCGCTCGTCTGCTTCTTCTGCTGCGTCGTCAGCGGAGGTAGGGCTGGGTGCTGCGATGGCTAGGGCGTGCGCTGCCGGTACTGCTACTAGCGGTGGGGCTGGCGCTGTGGTGCCTGTAGGGGAAGAAGAAGAAGAGGAGGAGGAGGAGGAGGAGGAGGAGGAGGAGGGAGAAGGCGAGAGCCCGGCCGAGGAAGCGGTGGTGGTGCCTCTGGTGTTGACGTATCAACAGGCGCCTATTCCACAGCCTTTTCTCCAGCCTCTCCCACAGCCTCTCCCACGACAACAACAACAACAACAACAACAACAACAGCCACCGCCACCGCAGTCGCTTCCACAGCAACAGCAACAGCAACAGCGGCAGCCAGCCCCTCCCCCCGCCGCCGCAGCCATGATGATAGCAGCGCGCGAACGACGCGCCTCCGCTTCGGCGCGGGCGCGTTCGGGTACCGGGGGCCCGATTTGCGAGGGCTGTGGCCGCGCGGTGCAGCAGCAGGAGGGGGGCAGTCGGGGGCGGTGCTGTCGGCGCGGCTTGATGAAGCGGGGGGAGATGGGGGCCGAGGTGCTGTTTGCTAAGGATTGGTGGATGGGGTAGGGGCGGGTGGGGAGTGGGAGATTGATGGGTGTGGGTATGGGTATTGTTGTGTTTGGTAGAGTGAATATTGCGTGTACGTGTGTAGTGTAGTGTATTGTGTAGACTGTTTTTTATGGGCTGTGGTGTTATGTATACTCTGTCTATATGGAACGCGTGTCGTGGGGACGCGTGAAGATGAAACGAGAGGCGTGAGAACAGAGCGGGTGGAGGAGGCGAAGCACTTTTCAGCCCGACAGCTGTGTCTGTGTCTGTTCAGGTGTAACTAGTTCGCAGCACGACGAGCTGACGTTGAGGCCGTCGGATCGCGGCCAGGGCGTCTTCCAAAAATAGGCTAGTGGAGCGCCTACCTGCCCTACACTCCATCACGTCTCCATACTCTACATACAACTCCATCGCATCTCTCCCCCCCACCGGTCCGCACGTCGCATCTGCAGCCCCCGGTGCTGCCGCGTCCCAACATGTCGCAAACCGAAGGCCCTCCGCACGCCGATTCGATTAGCAGCCAGGACCCTCACGCCGAGGATAGCAAGAAGACAAAGAGCAGGAGGCCGGCGAGTGCGCATTGCCCTGGCTCCACCCGATGACGCCCGCAAGCTAACCACGCGCCTTGTCGCCAGATACCGCTTTCCGCCAACAGCGCCTCAAGGCATGGCAGTACGTTGAACCCGCCCGCTGCCGCCGCGACCGCCCATGCTGACCGTCGCAGGCCCATTCTCACCCCCAAGACGGTGCTTCCGCTCTTCTTCGTCATTGGCGTCATATTCGCGCCCATCGGCGGCCTGTTGATCTGGGCGAGCGCGCAGGTCCGTTTCCCCCGCGCCCGACGTAACTAGCTGTCGCGCCTAAGCCTTGCTGACACACGCCCGCAGGTCGAGGAGATCTCCATTGACTATTCTGATTGCGCCGGAAAGGCCCCCAGCAGCTCCTTTGGCAGCGGCAACAAGACCTACCCGCCCTTGACCAGCGACTTTGAACAGGTCCCCAACAGCAGGGTGTCGAGCTACTTCAAGACCAACAACGGCACCGGCACGCCCCCGACCTGGGCGCACAGTGTCAACACCTTCAACTACTCCGAAAAGGTCCGCATCCCGACGACCGTCTGCTCCATCCAATTCGACATCCCCAACGACATTGGCCCGCCCGTCCTCTTCTACTACCGCCTCACCAACTTCTACCAGAACCACCGTCGTTATGTCAAGTCCGAGGATCCGGACCAGCTTAAAGGAACGTTCCGGAGCAACTCGTCCATTGCAAACAGCGATTGTGACCCGCTCAAGGTGAACGGCGACACCGGAAAGGCGTACTATCCCTGCGGTCTTATTGCCAATTCTCTGTTCAACGACACCTTTATGCCTCCCACGTTCCTGAACCCCGGGAAAGGCGACAGCCCCGTGTACAACATGACCGAGAAGGGCATTGCCTGGGAAAGCGATAAGGAATTGTACAAGAAGACGGCGTACAACCGGTTCCAGGTCGAGCCGCCACCGAACTGGCGCAAGCGCTACCCCGACGGCTACACCGAGGATCGCCCCCTGCCTGACTTGCATAACGACGAGCGATTCCAGGTCTGGATGCGGACCGCCGGCCTGCCTACGTTCAGCAAGTTGGCTATGAGAAACGATAATGAGACAATGCGGGCTGGACGCTACCAGATGGACATCTACGACAGTAAGTGGCGGGCCTGGAGCCCCTTTTGAGTGGCGCTGCAGCCCCGCTGACCGGCGCTAGACTTCGATGTCACCGCCTACGATGGTACAAAGTCAATTCTTATCTCCACGCGCACAGTTATGGGTGGCAAAAACCCATTCCTTGGCATTGCTTACGTGGTGGTCGGTGGCATCTGCATATTACTGGGGACGCTCTTCACGGCCACGCACCTCATCAAGCCTAGGTATGTCTTCTCGGAGAGGCGGACAAAGGGCCGGCCGATTGACTAACTGTGCCTGCAGAAAACTCGGTGACCACACGTATCTCACCTGGAATAACGAGCAGCCCAGCACGGCAACTGCTACCGGCAGGAGCCTGAGACCAGGGGAATAGGCTTGATGATGCCCATGAAGAATTTTTTTTTTTTTTTTTTTTTTTCAATTGATTCTTTCATTGCTTGCGCGGTACCGGCGTTGAAGGTCTCGGGGTAGTGTAGGGCTCGCTGACGAAGTCGAGTCTTTTTTCTTCTTCTAGAAGTCTCAAATTTCCGCGATTATGACACGGATTCCCTTCTCGAACGTCCCGATGCTGCTCGTGCTGGGGATCTGGGCGTGAGCTCGTTCTCTGGAAGTCTCAGGTAGGAGGACTAGAATCCGGACGAGCGGTGGTTGATTTAAGGCCCCGCTTTGTTGGCGGAAAGCCCCCGGAAACAAACCGTTTGCATCGAAAATGGAAAGGCTCCAGAGTGCGCCACGGCCACGTTCTAGAGAGTCCTCCAGCACGCTTGTCCAGCTGGCCCATCTGGCAAGGGATCCAGAACACGTCGCAGGCTGATATAAATACCTAGGCATTGCGACCTCTCCAGGCGGCCATCATCAGCATCTAGCGCAGAGATCCTCTCCCCCCTCGAGACGGCGAGCAGCACACTCTCATCAATAGACTTGGAACACTCTGTCCTCTACATTCACATCGACTAATCTGAAACACATTCTTCTCGACGACACACGAGCCATAGGTCCAGCAAGCGTTAGACCGAAAATGTACAAGTTCCTGATCCTCCTTGCCTCACTGGGCAGCCTAGCCATGGCGGAGCCAATCCAGCACTTTGACTGCGGCACGACGCAGGGGCACGCCAAGGCGGACCTCATGGAAGCGATCAAGAGCCTCCACGCCAACAGCAACCACAACAACACGGGCGGGTCGGCGGCGGCGCGGGCGGGGCTGGTGGCACGGCAGAACAGCCCGATTGTCATCGACGCATACTTCCACGTCGTAGCGACGACGGCCAAGGCGGGGCAATACACCGACTACAAAGCGATGGGCGAGAAGCAGGCGGCGGTGCTCAACAAGGCGTACAACCCGCAGGGCATCTCGTTCACGCTCAAGGAGACGACGCTGACGACGAACGACGCGTGGGCGGTGGGCGAGGGCGGCGACATGGACGCCATGAAGGCGGCGCTGCGCAAGGGCGACTACAGCACGCTGAACATCTACTTCCAGAGCGACCTGGCGGGCAACATTCTGGGTGTGTGCACGATGCCCAGCACGGTGGCGCCGGGGGTGCAGCCAGCGCAGTACAGCTCGGATGGGTGCAGCGTCCAGGCCGGCACCATGCCCGGCGGCGTCACGGCCGGCTATAACCAGGGCATGACGGCCGTGCATGAAACGGGCCATTGGCTCGGCTTGTTCCATACCTTTGAGGGCAAGAGCTGCTCGGGCGACGGCGACCTCATTGCTGACACGAGGGTCGAGGCGAGCAGCACGAATGGCTGCCCGGTTGGCAAGAACTCGTGCCCGGATGTCGCCGGCGTGGATCCCATCCATAACTACATGGATTATAGCATCGATGAGTGCTATGAGGCTTTTACGCCCGGCCAGCAGGTCAGGATGCATGAGCTTTGGGCCCAGTTTAGGGCGGGGAAGTAAGGGGGGAGGGGCTTGCTGTTGCTTCTTGCTGTTGTTGCTGTATATGCTTTCTCTGGTTTCTCGCGTTGGGCTTTTGGCTTTTGGTTTTTGATCGATAGATGTTGTTTTGCTGGGAGGCTATTGCGTTGTCGATTCAGTGGCTTTTTTTTTTTTTTTTTTTTTTTTTTTTTTTTTTTTTTTTTTTTCTTACTTCTTCTTCTCTTCTTGCAGCTTTGCGTCTTCGTTCTGTATGGCTTGGTCAGTTGCGCGCCGTTCAGTTCCGTTCTGCTCAGTTCCGTTCCGTTCAGTTTGCTCAACTCAGTTCAGTTCTTCCTCTGCTTCTGCTCCTTCTTCCCCTTCTTCAGCATACCTAGCTTAAGTATCTTCGTCGTCCTGTTCATACACCCACATTCACTCTCCAGGCCACTGTAGCCGTGGCCGCTCGCAACACAATACATAGAAATGACATTCTTGGCCTCTCCACACTCACACACTCTCAAACAGTGTCATTTATTTTATCTCGTTTCGTCACGCACCATCGTCTCGTCTCAGTCAATGCTTCATTTACCTACTACAACGTCATCCCTGCCTGCAATTTTACCTCGCTTGCTTGCTTGCTTGCTTGCTAGCAACTCGCTTGCTTGCAGGTAGTTCACTTGCTAGCTTGCAATTGGCTTGATTTGATTGCTCGCTTTCCTGGCAACCAGCGATCAGCAATTTACGATCGCCCACACCCCTCCGTTCCAGCGCAGAGCCTCCGTTCCCGTGAGCCTCGCCGCGCCCTTACTGCCGCGTAGCGTCATGGGCGCCGCTGCGCCGGGCGCGGGCAGCGCTGGGCCGGCGGCCCTTGCGTGAGGTTGTGCCGCTTATTCCGCGGCTGCTTAGGTGCTTAGGCGCTTAGGTAAGTGGGCTGGTTCCTTGGAAGGCGGGTGGGTGCGTGGTTGTCCAGTGGCGGAGCAGGTCATTGGTGCCTCCGGCTCCGCCACTGCACTACCTTACTGCCACTCGCTGTCAATGCCATGCATGGCATAGCATGACACAGCACGCATACGTCCACAAGGCTGCGCTGTGCCTCTGCGTGGCACAATGCAGCGGCGCACGCGCGGCTTGCTTCCGCGCAGGATGGTCAGGCGGTGGCGATGGCGCTGGCGCTGGCGCATACAGCCCAGGGTCCGGTGCCTGCCTGCCTGGCTATTTTCTCACGCATCTCACGCATCAATCGATCAGTTGTGACAAGGCCGGGTGAAAGAAGCCTGAGTGCTATCGCAATGGGTGGTGGTGGCGGCGTCGCGGTCGCGTGCTTGGCTGTGTTGATTGACTGCCTTTGCTGGCTGCGTTGCCTTGGTTCGGTTTGGGTGTGGTGGTGTGAGATGCCGTTTTGGGGTTATTGTCTAGGCTTTGTCTTCTTTGTCGCGTGCGGTTTCTTTCGTCCTTTCTTGCTTTGATGCCTGGTGGCGAGGCGAGGCGGACACGTTTTGCGGCTCTTTGGGGGGGGGGGGGGGGGGGGGGGGGGGGGGGGGGGGGGGGGGGGGGGGGGGGGGGGGGGGGGGGGGGGGGGGGGGGGGGGGGGGGGGGGGGGGGGGGGTTGCGTGAGAGTGGTGTGATGGGGTGGTTTGGGGTTTGCGTTGTGGTGGTGGCGGCGTCGGGGGTGGTCTTGGTTGGTCTGGGTTGGGGGTTTTCGTTTCTTGGTGTGTGGTGGGGGGTTTTTTTTTTCCCTTTCCTTCTTATTCAGTTTTCTCGTCTTCTCTTTCTTTTCCCTTCTGATTGGGTGGGTTGTGGTATGACTTGGTGCACAGGCGGTAATGGTGGCTAGCGGATGGATGGATGAGAGAGCGCTGCTCCACTGGGGGACAAAGAACCGCTTCCCTGCTAACTGGGCATGTTGGTGGTGAACAGTTAAGTCAGCCAGTGACTATCGACCCCAGGCAAGGCCGACCATACAGCCAACATCCTGGCAAGCAAGCAGACTGGCAAGCAAGTAGGTAGGCACCACCCCACAGCACCTCCATCCCCTCCTCACCTCTCACCATCCACACTCTTACACCCACCCTAACCCAAAGCCACTACCCTCGCTCCGCTCGTCCGAGACGTCTATCATTATGATATATACCTCCACAAGTCTTTGTCCTTTACTCGTTCTTTGAGCGCCGAAGCGTCTAGACTTGCCCGCGCTTCCGGAAGGGTCTAGACCGCTCTCGGGCGGCTGGATTGGGGGCTGTGTTTGGGGTTGGTTAGGGGTGCTTAGGTGTGTTTGGTGCTGAAAGATAGAGTGTGAGAGGGAGAGGGGGGGCGAGAACACGGCTATCAGTATACCTAGCAACAGTAGCATCAGCAACACAGCAACACAGCACCATCATAATCACAGCAAAAAAGACACGAAAAGACGACAAGACGACAAGGCCAAGAGAAGCGACACCCTCACCCTCAGCCCTCGCACCATTCCCACAACCACAACCACCCTCCTACCTACTCTACCCTAAGTAGGTATCTATCATCTATCTACCCCCTCAGCCGCAGCACCGCAACCCGCTGCCCCGCGCGCACCATCTCCCCCGGCCGCACCAGCACCCGCTCAACCAGGGCTGTGTTTTTCTCGCCACCACTACCGCCACCGCCGCTGTCGCCGCTCCCGCTGCTGCTGCTGCTGCTGCTGACGCGGTTCTCGGGCACGCGGACCGCGATCTCGAGTTTCATGGCTTCGAGGACGGCGATCTGTGGTTTGCGTGAGTGAGTGCGTGAGTGAATGGGGCATCAGTGTTTTGAGAGAGGGCCGGGGGACGGGGTAAGTGAAACCGAAGAAAGCGGGAGAAGGAACACGTACGACCTGGTCCGCCATCACCACATCCCCCACCCCCACCTCGACCTTCCAGACATTCGCGTCCATGGGCGCGTCGACCTCCACCCTCCCCTCCC